GGAGGTCAAGGCAGGTAGATTGCTTGAGCTCAGGAGTTCAAGACCATCCTGAGCAAGACTGAGACTCTGTCTTCAAAAATAGCAGGGCACTGTAGTGGGAGCCTATAGTCACACTGGAGAGGCTGAGGCAAGAGGGTTGCTTGAGCCCAAAAGTTTGAGGTTGGTGTGACTCTACCTTTCTTCAGCCACAGGAGGGCAGCAAAGAGCTGTTTGAATTGTTTGAATACGCTTCTACAATACAGTATTTTAAATCTGATGCTGGTAGCATTTATTATTATTATTATTTATTAATTTTGCAGTTTTTGGCTGGGCCAGGTTTGAACCCACCAACCCCCATATATGGGGCCGGCACCCTACTCCTTTTAGCCACAGGCACCACCCACATTTTTTTATTTTTAAAGACATTTCTGGGCCTTTCTTTAAGTGTACATGGGAGAGGAAACTACAAGCTTAGATTTTCATTTAGGCAAAATCCTTCATTTTAACATATTAACAGTGTTTGGCTGATACTAGCCATTCAACTTATCTCTCAAATGAATAAATGAATAGCTTAAAACTGATGGATATTTAAAAACAATACCATTTAACTTAGGTGCTTGAAACAATAGGAAGTAAGGATCCTACCTTTGATTGCTTAAAATTTCCTCTTGTTCTCAATCTTTTTTTTTTTTTTCTTTAAACCATGTGTTAGACTCAGAACATGTAGATTTTCTTCTGGATCTAAGAGTCACCACACTCATTTGACTTCTAATCCCTCCATCGCTTCATCTATTATGAGACTAAAATCATCTCTAATTAAAAAACTCTATTCTGGTTGTGTGTGGGAGGAGCAGCAAACAAACAAACAAAAGACCCAAAGGATTCTACCTTATCATCATTTTAGACTAAAGAATTTTTCAATTAAAAATGCTCAGTATGCTTCACTTAGAGCTATTGAAGTGTTCATTTTATAGATGAATATTAAGATATCATAACTAAATAGGCTCTGTTGTAAGAAATCATAATCATAACTCAGTTCCTACAGATGCACAATTCAAAACCTAGCAGAAAAGTGTTTATTTTTAAAGACACAGGTATTCATTCTAGAAAATTTGAGAGACATAGAAAATAATAAGAAATCAACCATTTGAATCTTAAATCATATCGTGTCCCTTTTCTGCTCAAAAGTCTCTGTGGCTCCCTTTCTATCAGGTAAAAGCCCAAGTTTTCCTCGCTTCCCTGACATGATCTTGTCTCTGTCCTGTTCTTTCCTGCTTGTTCTGTTAGACTGACTGCCTCCCTGCTGGTCCTTGGGTTCCAGGCCATTCCTGCTTTGAGGCCTCTGTCCCTGCCATCCCCTCTCCTTAGGATGTTCATTCCCTAGATATGGGCAGGGCTCACTCCCCTGCCTTGTCTCTTAACCCAGAATCACCTTCCTAGTGAGACTTTCTAGACTCCCCTTCCCTAAAATTGCTACCTATCTCTGACATTTTTTACATTTTATTTTTCCTGGTTTTATTTTTCTTCTTCATATTTGTCACTAACATTCTGCATTTGTCTTATTCATTCACATTTTTTATTTCTTTCAGGAATTAACCTCCTTATGTCACAGATTTTCATTTTGTTCACCACTGTGCCCCAACATCCACAATAGCATTCATGATTATCTTATGCAAGGATGAATGTGGCTATGCTATTGCCTGTAGGTTTAAGTCCTTGGACACTTTGCTCTTTATTATTATTTTTTTTTGAAGCAAGGTCTCCCTCTGTAGCCTGGGCTAGAGTGCAGTGATGTCTAGATGAGCTAGACAGCCCAGAGAGCTAGAGAGCCTACATGTCATCTTGGGCTCAAGCAATCCTCCTGTCTCAGCCTCTTGAGTAGCTGGGACTACAGGCTTAGGCTACTACACCCAGCTAATTTTTCAACTTTTAGTAGAGACCATTCTCACTCTTGCTCAGGTTGGTCTCCAGAGCTCAAGCAATCCTCCCACTTTGGCCTCCCAGAGTGCTAAGATTAGGGACAAGAGCCACTGTCCCCAGCCTCTTTTTTTTTTTCTCTCTTTTCTCTTCTGCTGTAAAATACATTGCTGCAATGAGTAACTTTTCCCACTCTTTCACACAGTTAATACCATTATTATTATTATTATTAAGATAAGGTCTCACTTTATCACCCAGGCTGGAATGTAGTGATATGATCATAGCTTACTGCTTACTTATCTTTAACTCCTGGGCACAAGTGATCCTCCTGCCTCAGTCTCTCAAGAAGCCAGGATAGAGGTGTGGGCCACTAACACCCAGCTAATTTTAAATTTTTTTTTGTAGAGATAGGATCTTATAATGATGTCCAGGCTGTTCTCAATTCCTGGCCTCCAGTAATTCTCTGCCCTTGGCTGTTGTTATCTTAGAATTAAAATTGTTGGGGTCAAATGATATAAATACTTACATTTAAAAATAATTCTGGCATTATTTTTGAGTTACAGAAAAATTATAAAAGTGGCACAGAGTTCCCATATTTCCTTTGCCCAACGTCCACTAATTTTGACACTTATATAACCCTTGTTGATTTGTCAAAACTAAGAAATTAACATTGGCACAGTACTATTAACTATAGGTTTCATTTAAATTCACCAGTTTTCAGTATTTTCTGGCTGGGCATGGTGGCTCATGCCTGTAATTCTAGCACTCTGGGAGGCCAAGGCTGGTGGATTGCTTGAGCTTCAGGAGTTCAAGACCAGCCTGAGCAAGAACGAGACCCCGTCTCTACTAAAAATAAATAACTAAAAAAAGAAAAACTGTGGCACGTGCCTGTAGTCAGCTACCTGGAAGGCTGAGGCAAGAGAATTGCTCAAGCCCAAGAGTTCGAGCTATTTACCCATGGCACTCTACCCAGGGCAACAGAGTGAGGCTCTGTCTCAAAAAATAAAATAATAATAATAATAAAAACTTTAGTATTTTTCTTCTTCAAAAAATGTCTTTAAAGTTTGATGGTTAATAAGAGTGTCTCACTGTAATATTAAATATTTGCATTTTGATGAGTTTGAAAATTATATTTTTGGCTGTTAGCATTTTTAAAAATGTTTGTACCTTTTGCCTATTTTTAAAATTAGAGTGTTCCACCTCTGAAATATAACACTTACAGTTCAGTAATAGAACTACTATATTATAGAATATGGATATGCCGTGTATACTATATAGCATAGAAATACTGATTTATAAGCACTTTATATAGGCTATTCATTTTTGTCAAGGCTGATAAACGTATTTTTCCATAATTTTGAAATACATGGGTTTTCTGTTTTTATGTCATCAAATCTATTGTTTTAGTTTTGTGATTTATTCTATTACTTTTTTAAAGATTTGGTTTTTCTTTCGTTTTTTTTTTTGCAGTTCTTGGCTGAACCCACCACCTCCCGTATATGGGGCCGGCGCCCTATTCCTTTGAGCCACAGGCGCCGCCCCTGGGTTTTTCTTTTTTAACAGCTTTATTAAGGTATAATTGATAAAAATTGCACATATTTAAGGTGTCCAACTTGATGTTGTGATATATGTATACATTGTGAAATGATTTCCCCAATCCAGCTAGTTAACATGAGCTACCCAGTCATATAGTTAATATCTTCTTTTGTGGTAAAGACATGTAATCTACCCTCTTAGAAAATTTCAAGTATCCAATCAGTAATTTTAACTGTAGCCACCATGCTTTACCAGATTTATGCTTTCACGCTGCTATTTAGTGTTTTGTTTTCAATTTGACGAATCTCCTTAAGCATTCATTTCTCATAAGCCAGGTCTAATGGTGACAAACTCCCTCAGTTTTATCTCAGAACAACGTACATTTTTAAAGGTTAGTTTTGTCAAGTATAGTATTTCTATTTGGCAGTTTTTTCCTTTAGTACTTTGGATACATTATTCCACTCTACCCTGGCCTGTAAGGATTATGCTGAGCAATCTGCTGACCGTCTTATGGATAATTATCCTTATCCCTTAATGGAAACTGATGAAGCTCTCAAATACTGATGCAGAGGGAAGAAATTCTAGGAACATATTTCAATCATGATAATAGCTTAATGAGGTTAACTACTTAGCTAATAAAGCCACTTTGCTACTGAACAAATACACCACTTAAATGAATTTGGTTGCTAAAAACAATGCAGCAAAACTGAAGTCAATTTGAGGGTGTCAAGTTACTGCATCTTCTGTGTCGCCCGTTATCACTACTGCTATTTCAACGGAAACACCCAGCCTATTCCAACGGCTCTGGTGTCACAGCCTCAATTAACAAGGCAACAGGCAGAAAAGACAAGTTATCCCCTCTCTAGCTTACAGGGTCAAAAATCCCCTTGCTTGAAACTCACTTCATTCGGTACCCTCTCTGGTGAGGCATAGGACATCCTTACATCCTCACAGGCTAGAGGTGTGAGAGACTGTGGAAAACCAACTATATAAATAAACAGGGAGGCTGTGGTTAGTGACAAGGGCTCTGGAGGAAATAGATTGGGTAATGAGATTAGGGAGTCTGCCGGAAAAGGCCACGTTAAATCGGCACATTGTGGGAGACCTCTCTGAGGAGATGACCTTTGAGCTGTGGCCTCAGGAGAAAGAGTGGGATGTGGGAAAAGCTGGAATGGGACTCATCCCTAAGCAAAAAAGGGTTCAGGTATTAAAGACCTCTTTTTACTGAGCTAGGAAGTGTACAAGAGATAAGCACTCTCACTGTGAGATAATACTTCACCCCGTGGGCTTGTGTAGATCCATCCTTTTCTCATTTAGGACTGGGCTTTATCAAAATTTGAGCTACAATATAGTCCTGTAATTTCACTCTGAGTGGAAATGTTAAAAGAATAACCCCCCACCCCCCACCCCCATGGATCTAAAGACTATGCTTATATTACATTGTGGTCATCTTCTCTTTGCAGTCCTAGACCATTTTCCATGCCTTAACTTGACATTTGGTAAAACAAAATTTTGTTTAGCAATTAAAATAAAGCAAAGAACCAGATATGACACTATCTCCATTAAAGTAAAAAGTTTAATAAAAGCATCAGAAACTAAAGATGAGGACTAAACGCTAGACATCAGACAGACTTATAAAACAAAGTACAATTACTTTTATAATTCAAATAAACTATGAAGTACAAAATCGTAAAATGCCAACATGTATGAGAAAAGCATTAACAGTCCTTTCAGCAATTTACCATATAAAGATGTCTTTAAAGTGCTATAGTTTGAGACATCTTATTTTAAAGTTTAATAAACATCTGTTTTCAACATAATCTCACAAAAAGCCCAAGTTTTTTTTTTTTTTCCTCTAGCTACAAAGTCTTTGGTCAGAAATACTGAAAATACATATAAAAATTGAGGAGTAATAAACTTGTTATGGTAAGTTATTAGTGCAGTTCAAAAGCGTATGAACTCCATTTCAAGAACAAACTGCCTTGTTCAAGGTACAGAGTCATCCACACTTTCGTCATCCATCTGAAATCTATACAAGCTCTCCATTCACTTAGTTCCTCTTAATTTAGTCTATTACCTTTTAAACAAACAAACAAAATCCCCCCAATCTTCCAGGTACCTGAAGTTTAGCCTGGATTTCATTTATCTACATTGAAAGTGTTTCCAAGTATATTTCTAAAAAGGAAAAGAGCAGTGTGATAGATAATATAAAGAATATAGATTCAAAAGTCTATCAATACCTGATTATGTAATATTCAGTTCTTTCCTCATCCTCTTATGTTTGTATTAAGCAGTTATTATTTCCATTTCTTGCACATGCAGATGTCTGCCTAAAAATGCTCTAAGTCAAAGGAGAAATCTAGCCTTGCATTCAAAATTGCCCTAGAATGCCACTCACAGACTAAGAAGATCTGACAACCCGAAGGGTGGCTAAAAACAGATGAAGTCAGAGGTTAGGGAGATGTGGTGTCTCCACTGACGTGAAAACAGAGCAAGGAAAAATGAGTAAGTCACAGGAGGCCTTGCTGATTCAAGTTCAGAATTTTGTCTTTTTTCTTTTTGTTGAACTCTCAAAGTAACAACCACTCTGGATCTTTTCTTGCCCCCTTCTCTATGGATAAGAATGGCAGTAGCTGCTTCCCTCCTTTAGGAAAGTAACTAAAAGGCCCCTGGGCATGGCCTAGTCTTCAGCTGCCTGGAGCTTACATTCTGTGTCGTATTTAAAGAGCTAAGGCACCATTCTCAGTTTGTTCAAAATGGTTGTTTTAAATGATGAACAAAAGTAAAAGTCCAGTAATTTTTTTTAAACTGACTTTAATTGACATTAAAAAATAACACACTGATTTTTTTTATTACCTTTAAGCAACAAAAATGCGACCTGTAGTCTCTCAAATGGGATGAGATTTTCCCCATAAGTACACTTCTTAACTCATTCACAAGTTGACTGGACATCCCTTAGGCACTGTACGACACCCTCCTCTCTACACCCCAGGCCTTAATGAAGAAAGATACACATACCTATAGCTGCCGCTAAGGGGTAGCCTGCTGTAAGATGAAGCAGTGGCAGCACTGAGAAGTAGTTCAGAACGCGCCCTCTAGTGACAGAAACCAGTAGGTTCAAACCCAGTGATGCTGCTTTTTAATTACTTGGTTTAACTTCTCTAAGCCTCAGCTTCACCAGCTACAATATGGCATCCTCTTAATAGAATTTCTGTAGGAAGTACATACAAGCAAAGCATTCAGTATGGCATCAGCACAAGGAAAGGCTTGGAAAATGGTTGCTCATATTATTACTGTGATTACTTCTGTACATGGAGTACTGTGGGAAAATAAAGGAAATGGGTGTTCATTCTTTGGAGCACGATCTCACTGGGGAAAATTCTGGTGTACTAAGCAGGACAAAGACTGCTTTGACATTTAGCATCCTGGCCCTAAGGGACCACAAGGTCAGTAGCACCTCAATCATTATGATAACCAAAAAACATACTCACGTATTTCAAATTCCCATGACTGGGCTTACCATCCCTGTTGAGAAGTGCTGTTATGGAAGGGTATTCAAGGATCAGATACATTGGGCCTGGTAGCAGGGTTAACAGGAAAGGAATATTAGATAGAGGATGAAAGAAGAAACCTTTCCTGATGAATCTGAGTATAACTCCCAAAGCCACCCTTCAGGCCTTAAAGTCAAAGGGTAGAACTACATCTTTACTAACAATATCTCAGGAGAAATGAATTATACAGCAAAGAGATGGCTCTCTCTAGTAACCCCTAGACAAAGTTATGTTAGTATGTATAATATTGTTAGTGAGATAAAAGAGACTAATTGAGAAATAAGTAACATTAAATCTATAAAAATAAAAATTATACTCAAGTCCAAAAAGAAAAAAAAGAAAGAACTACATCTTTGCAAATATTTCAGCAGGAAGGAATTTTGCAGATGAAACTACTTCTTTAGCCAGGCTCACTGTTCATGTAGTTGAACTAGAAGGCAGACATATAAATTTAGACAGTAATTTCAGAGGGGATTTTTAACAATCTTAATTTCTTTTTTCCTCTGTATACCAGACAAGGGCCACTTCATCCCATAACTACAAAAAGTAAAAACTAAAATCATAAACAAAAGGTAACAATAACAGAACAAGGTCAAAGAAACTAGCATAGAATCTGGGCTAAGAAAAGTTCTACCTCAGTATTACCCCCCAAATCTACCATCCCTCTCTAATAAAGTGTTCCAGGTTGAATACCACTTTCATGTTGCCATAGGTCTTAATAAGCCAGAAGGAAGATCTTCTCTTACTCCTGAATTTCTTCTCCAGAATTTAACGGCATTTTTGTGATATCAGAAAATATTTGAGGCATTTGACCTTCATCAGTACCGAGAGGTAGAAAAAAGGCAAGTGGTGTTACCCTCATGTCACACATGAGATGTCTGAGGCACTGAGCAATGACAAGATAGGCTTATTGGTAGAAGTCACTGCAAATAAAATCCAGATTTCCTGTTTCCTTGGTGGTTTGGTCCCCCTTCCCCAAATCACAGACATGCATTACTAACGTGGCCAAAGTATCCAGCAGAGGAATCCTCGGAAAATTTCTTTGGGCTCTACCCTTTATCCAGTCTGTCTCTAATTGGAGCCTAACTTGGATATGGAAGAATCTGTTTAGAAGGACACAGATTTATATATTTTATAATTATTCATTTATGTATCTTTTTGCCATCTTTTCTTGGAGATGCTCTTCATCTCTTAGAAATGATTATGTTAAATGGATGTGGGGCTAACGTTAGACCAAATCTTCCAGTCAGGATGGGCTTCTCAGAATTCTTAGGTAAGGCAAACGTGAAGCTCTGCATCAGGCTCACAAACATCAGGAATAATTCCATCTTTGCCAGTTGCTCTCCCATACACACCCGCTTCCCTAGAAATGAGTTCAGAAAAAAAGTTAAGGATTATGCTACCATCCCTTTTCCTATTTCAAAAGTACAAATTTATATAAAATGTCTAAATTGAGCATTTTAAATGCAGATACAGAGAGTTTAAAAATAAAATTGCCATATAAACCATCCACAGCACATGCTGATCAGACTTTCACATACCAAGTTCACGTTTTGACTCCTACTTACAGGAGCCTATCTCATCCTAGACAGGAGCTACAGACAGATCCAATGTGGCAGCTCAGCTGTCTCTTCCATGCCTACTTATCTCTTTTCTTAACTCTTACCTGGAAGATGATAGGGCAGAAAGTCAGATAAGAATCTCTAAAGCAGGCTTGGTTCCAGTGGCTCAGCAGCTAGAGTGCCAGCCAGGAGCTGGTGGGTTCGAACCCAGCCTGGGCCTGCCAAACAATGACAACTACAACCAAAAAATAGCCAGGCATTGTGGCGGGCACCTGTAGTCCCAGCTATTTGGAAGGACAAGAATCTCCCTTGGAGGCAAGAGAATTGCTTAAGTCCAAGAGTTTGAGGTTGCTGTGAGCTGTGACACCATGAGGGTGCCAAAGTGAGACTCTGTTTCAAACAACAACAACAAAAAACAGAATCTCTAGAGCAAGGGTGTCTAGTCTTTTTTTCCCTTTACCTTACATTGGAAGAATAAGAGTTGTCTTGGGCTATGCATTAAATACACAAACACTAATGAAAACTGATTAGTAAAAAAAAAAATAAAAACAAAGGCCTGTGCATACTTTTTCTGATATCAGACATCACAGATATGCAAAATAAACTCCTCACAAAATCAACAAGTAGCCTGCAGGCCACAGGCTGTATACCCCTTTCCTAGAATCTTTCTTTTTCCATAGAAAGAATCCTGTGTTCCTAATCTAGGAACCTAAAACAGGAACTGCTAAAATTAGGTGAACCCACACTCTCACCCATTAGACCAGCAGAAGTTCAGAAGTTGCTCTTAACTCCAATAGTCCCCTGGGGCCCAAAAAACTGGGGGTAGACTGGTTACTAGAAAGGAAGATATCTGGTCATATTTAAAGATTTAAAGCCAATTGCTTACATTTTATTTTTAAAATATGAAATAAACATAGTGGAGATACATTATCTAAATTATCACTTATATTAGCTTACCAGGAAAGAGAGATTTTAAAAACAACATAAGATTCTTTTAGCTCTACTTCTTTTTGAAATTATGACTTAAAAAATAAAAGTTGAACTGACCTATCCCAAAGGGAATAAAGGTTTCTTTTTTAATAAGTTGTCCTTGGTCATCCAGAAATCGATTAGGGTAGAAATCCTCTGGTTTCTCCCAAATGGCTGGGTCTCTGTGTACTGACCATAAGTTGGGCAAGATCATTGTGCCTTTAGGAATGTTATACCCTTGGAGCACTAAGACAAACAAACAAAAGAAAACCACAGTGTTTAACACACCTTTACTTATAGTTCTAAGCATTACTATTTTAAAAAAAAGGAGTTATATACCTAGTATCTTAATTGGCTGAGACTAAACTCTGAGATACTTGAGGGCAGGGATAAGATCTTAATAGTTGGCATCCTTCTCTCCACATCATCCCAGGACCCAGCCTGAGACAGGACATAGCACACCATCCCAGGACCCAGCCTGAGATAGAACATAGGAGTCACCTTAATGGATGTTGAATGAATGAATGAATGAAATCAAAACATAAAAACCTCACAATTAAAACACTACAATAATAGGGCATTCAAGTATACTTTTCCTAAGAATTACAAATTCCTAATATTTGCATAAATATAGTCATTTATGTCCATACAGCAATATGATGAGGAAGGTAAACTAAGATAAAGAGTTTTACAGGGAAGCCAACCTTGGTTTTTACCAACTGGCAAGTTAATATACACTCTCTAAACAGTGCCCAAAAGATACTGTACACACAGTGCATCTAATTTGTACCAAAAAAAAAAAAAACCCTGTAAAGCGATCCAGCGTCATTTCATTTGTAAACAATTGCATCCTATAACTGTCTTAAAGGTAGATGAAGCCCATTATATTATGGGCTATCTCCAGAAGAGGAATTAAGAATTCCTTATTAATAGGGATATTTAAAAACAGTTTGGCCATGACCAAATGGACATGTTTCACTGTAGGTGAGAGGCTGAAGCAGTTGATGATCCTAGAATCAGGTGAGCTCTTCTAGTTCTTTAATATTTATTCTATGACTACAAAATTTTAAAGATTGAAGTAAGATAACTTTCAACTAAAATCCTTAATTCCACATTTAAACTCATTGTTCCTACCTCCATGGAAAGGACTAAGAAGTGCCTTTGTCAATTCTGGAGTTCTTTTTCTGCCAACGTGGCTGATTTAAATCGCAGTATTTATTCGTTTTGCAGTATAAGCATGTGTGCTGTGAAGGCTAGAGAGCTATTAATAAAACTAAGCAGTGCTGGAATGCCAGCACAACTAATAATGGACAACTGAGGGCTGAAACATTCCCTGGACGTTTATCTACAACACAGTGCCAAAAAGCACAGAAGGATCAAACTAGACAACAGTCACCATACCCCTTACCTCAACACACTAGATCTTCACCATACCCCTCACCTCAACACACTAGATCGCGGGGCTGTGCTTCTCCCAAGGCCATTCAAGGGGAAGACCCTGGACTTGCCTGTTCTCTCCGAGGTCATATGAGGAATGGCAAGCGGCACCACCACAGTCAGCCTCTGTACCTCCATGATGGTGGCTTCAGTGTAAGGCATCTGGGCCTTGTCTGTGAGGGAAGGGGCTCGGTTGGGACCAATGACCCTTTCGATTTCTTCATGAACCTTTTCTATACAAAAAGGAAAGAAGCAACCGGAAGATAAGCCCAGAAGAGAGTTAGGATGGCCCATCCTATGCCCATCACCACTTACAACTGATAATTTGGCAGCACAGACCTGGTTCTGACTCAGGGAAGTGAAGCCGTGGTCGGACAGTCCAAGTAGAGACATCCCCAGAGAAACTGTGCCACCCTGTGACTTTGAAGGAGGATAGCAGAATACTCTGGATTCAGGAGCACCTCAGTAACACTCTCATGTGAGCTTGGGACTGACTCCCTAAGTAGACTGTGCCAACATGCTGGCTTTCACCAACTAACAAGTTAATATACACTCTCTAAACCAGTGGTTCTCAACCTTCCTATTGCTGTGACCCTTTAATACAGTTCCTCATGTTGTGGTGACCCCCAACCATAAAATGATTTTCATTGCTACTTCATAACTAATTTTGCTACTGTTATGAATCATAATGTAAACATCTGATATGCAGGATATATTTAGGGGGCCCCTGTGAAAGGGTCATTGGACCCCCAAAGGGGTCACAACCCACAGGTTGAGAACTGCTGCTCTAAACAATGCCCAAAGCTCAAGATGGCCCTCAATTATCCCCACTCTTGGGCTTCACATTCTTGTGCAGTCCCCTCCCTCATTGTTCAAAGTTGGTCTACAAGACTAACAATAAGGTAGAAGTGAAGGCATGTCAATTCTAAGATCAGGTTATAAAACATCCTCATCTTCACCATTCACTCTCTCTTAGGTTACTCACTTTGTGAAAAGGTCAGGTTAAGGAGCTGTGCTATGGCCAATAATCATGTGGACAGCCATCTTAGAAATGGATCCTTCTGCTCCAGTCAAGTCTACAGATGACTGCAGACCCTGCCAACATCCTGACAGTAACTTCATGAGACCCCCTAAATTGGAACCACCCACTTTAAGCTCCTTCTGGACTCCTGACCTCCAGAGACTATGAGACATAATAAATGCTGGTTATTTTAAGTGACTAAATTTTAGGATAAGTCATTACTCAGCAATACTTGACTAATATAGGTAGGCACAATCCCATCTATGGTAAGCAGAGTAACGCCCCCTCCAAGATGTCCACACTGTTAATCTGTAACACATAAACATGGTACCTTACATGGGACGATATTGATGTGATTAAATTAAGAACCTAGAGATCCAGAGATTATCTAGATGTGTCCATCTAAGTTCATGGGTTTTAAAATCAGAGAACACTGCCCTCATGAACTCAGAGTCAGAGGGAGCTGTGACTGGAAGCGTGGTCAGAAAGAGGCAGCACTGCTGGCTTCAAAGCCGGAGGAAGAAGTCCATGAGCCATGGAAGGTGGAAACAGCACATAAATGGGTTTTCCCTGAGAGCCTCCGGAGAGGAATGCAGACCTGCCAACATCTTGATTTTTAGCCCAGTGAAAGACATAGCAGACTTCCAATGTATAAAACTATAAGATAGCAGATTTGTGCTGTTTTAAGCCATTAAATTTGTGGTAATTTGTTATATCAGCAACAGAAACTAACACACCACAATTCCCAATATTCTTCCACTGTTAAATGCCACCAACATTCACTATTCATCAGTGCTATGAACTGGCTATGACTTGTGAGTCACACAACTTCTCTGGGTCTCTGTTTTCCATTTTCAGAACAAGATGAATGGGTTCAGACAAGCATTATGATTTCCTTCAGCTCTAGAATGTTCTTCTCTAAAGGTCTCTCACCATCATAGATTTCACACAGAATCAGCCCTTTCAGAGATTAAAGCAGGAATAAGCAAGTTATGGCATTAATCCCACTGTCTAGAAGCTTGGGGTTTCACTGTTAATACCTTACCCACACTCTATGAGACTGAAGTATTTGTTTTCCAACCTGAAAACATTGCTTAGTGCTCAGAGCCACCAGATCACTGAAGTTGTTAATCCTGATTTAAATAACCTGGTTTTGCCATGAATACAGGAAACATTTTTTAATTACCTTGTACGTCGGGGTTCAGTGACATATATAACAGGCACCAAAGCAAAGAGTTAGTTGTAGTATCAGTCCCAGCAATGAAAAGATCCCCAATGATATAAAACAAGTAATCTTCATTAAAACTGCTGTTGCTGTTATTTTTCCTCTCCTCCTCCATGTGGAGAAGGTACATGTCTATGAAGTCCTGAGGGTTCTCTCCATTCAGAGACTCTTGATGGTCTTTGATGATTTTTTTAAGGAAACTAGTTATATCCTTTTCAATCTGTCTTAATTCCTTAAATGGTCCAAAGGGAAGGTAATAAAGCCAGGAGCATATGTTAACCAGGAGGAGCTGGCTGTTCAGGGAGATTTCTAACCCTCGTGACATAAAACCAAGCATTTCCTTAAACTCACTATTGGTATAATCGAAGCGCTGGCCAAAGCACAAGGAGCAAATGATGTTAGAGACAGCATTGCTGATGATGGGGGAAGGACAGAAGGGCTCTTCTCCATGCTTCTGCATTTCCTCTTTCACATATTTGAACTCCTCAATAATCTTGGGCTCCAAACTGAGCTTGCCTAACCCAAAATGACGAAGAGTTGAATGAGAGAACTTCCGCTGTTGTCTCCACACTGGACCGTAATGTGCAAACACAACCCCTGCAAAGGGACACCAGGAAAGGAAGGTAAGAGAGCATTTCAGACAATAGGGAACAGAACCAGGAAGCTTATTCGCATTTGTCAAGTTTCTGATCAAAGTTCATACACAGATAAAGACTACTAGTCCAGAAGAATGACTAGCAAAGTTTAATTATAAAGATAGTATGTTTCTAATAACAAAAAAATCACATCTAATTAAATTAGGAGAATTTTCTTTGTAGCTTATTATTATAGATAGTAACTCCTGGTGAAATGAAAAACTCTAAGTTTCCAAAGTTAGAGGGCATTTCAAAGTCCTATATTTCACAAGAGTGAATCCAGGCTTAGAAAATACTTTCAGCTAGATAAACCTATATTCTAAACGCTTGCTTACATTCTGAACATTCTAAACCAAAGTATAACTGACTGACATGAAGGTAGAGGCCACACCTGCTTGTGCTCACCATTAAAATCCCGGCTTCTGGCAGAATGCTCTGTACATAAAATGAGGTTAAATATAATATTAGCTGACTAAATGAATAGCCCTACAAGATAAGAACCACTGGCCATCAACGCTTGGAATCTAGTAACTGGCAGGTCATCTAAAACATCTGTTGTTGGCAACAGCACTGATCTGAAAACATCTGAGCTCACTAAAGGCTCCACAATACATCCTACTTGGTTCTCACTTCTACATTTCCCACCATCAAACCAACAAAGCTGCTGCTAGAGGTTGCATCAAATTGTCCTTCAAAGATTCATTGTTTCTTGTCCCCTATTTCATCCTCCTATTTTCCATGTTGTGCTTTATCATTTCAGCCAGTTGTCCTCCCTTCCCACATCATTTCTGAATTCTTACTATGTGCCAGTGGATACAGCTGCAAATGAAACAAAGGCTTTATTCAATGGTTAAGTCTTTTCATACTCTTCAATACTCTATAAAAATGTCTTTCAATATAAACATCCATGTGGTCTAGTGTATCACACAATTATCAGTTCCATTTTCCCCCTTGGAGTCCTCCAAATGTCTGCTCAAATCTGCAGTGTTACTCTCTTGGCCTTCTGCTTAGCTGTTGTTATTTCTGTTTGTCAGCACTTAGGAATTTTCTTAGACCTTTCTGTGTAGGAAGCCATTTCCTCGATCCTATGTCTTCTTTCCTGTTTTACTTCCTCAGTTTGCTGAAGCACATCCTCCAGTAGTTTCTGAGAAAAGATGCATAGAAGGAAAATTTCTATTTTGCAGGCCTAAAAAAATCTAGTTATTCTACCATTGGACTTCCTCAGAATTTTGAAGACACTGCTAAGAGTGGACTGATGAGTCATAAAATATGTACATTTTAACATAACTGAACATTGTTAAATTACTCTCCAAAGTGAACAATACATAGAAAGTATATAACTAGAAGTATATAAATCTTCTCATTTGTTCCAAATGGTTGCCATCACTTGATACTTGCCAATGTTTTTATTTTTGCCAATC